CTCTCAAAATTTAGTTTTTTGGCCTCCCCTGCATGTTACTTCAACTGTGGGAGGTTGGCTTTCCAAGAAAAGCAGTGCCTATGTCTCCTTATGTGAATGACTTATGGCAGAGTTTCCTTTTATACATGTACCTGTCACGCACAAACATTTCCCATTCTCGTAATTGACAAAAATGGGCTGCCCTGCCCTGCCATCAATATGCTGGCAGGAGTCCTGCTTTCGGGATGAGTCAATTCTATTGACTGGTTCACAGATTACCATTGAGACATTTCCTAGAATTCATTTATGAATCAGCTTTAGAAAGATCTAGAATACAATACTTTCTATGGCTACAGGCAGAGCCAAGCCTTCATTAGATATTGAATCATGATATCAAAGGTTTAGAGTAAAAAAATACTAAGTATCTAGTATGCTGGGGCCTAATTTGGTCAATTCCTTGTCTTTTTTATCTCTTAGAGAGTTAACGTTACATGTAATTCTAACATTCAAGAAAATCTGAGATTTTATACCTCCAGGTATTTTATTGTATTTTGTTTAATGTTGTTTGTTTACATTACCATGAAAAATAGCTGTATTTTTTTGGCGTGTCTGTCTGTCTGTGGACACCACCTGCCCCCCAGACAAATTGTATCATTCTTTGACAAATCTGGGTCTGAAGCACGTTCGTACAGAAATCGGTTGATCCGATAGCAAGACATATACCGAGTCCCCCCAAAATCTGTCCATCCCAACACGAGAAACAGCTTCGAACATGAAAATCCCAACCTCTTACAATACCCTTCCACGGAAGGATGTCTCCTTCCCCAGGGGTAATTATGCTGCTTTAAAATCTGGAGTTGGCTACCTTCTGTTTCCTCCCTGTGGCATTTCTATTATAGTAATAAGAACCAAAGAAGTGACTTGATATGCCCATACATGAAAAAGATGGGATGGACTGAAATCTCATTTCAGCGCTCCCAGCCACACTGGCCACCCTGCCATGAAATTGGATGAGCTAGTTTCCCTCGGCCAGTGGAGACATGACCATTGCTTGATGCCGCACCGAGCACACACTCTAGATAAATGAGGCGCTGATAGAAATCACAGAAGCAGCAGAAGTTTGGACTGAAGAATTCACGGCTACTCCCTAATGTATCCTTGCCACTCCTCACCTCCAATCCTGGTGTTCCTACAAGACATTACCAAGGCCAAGAAGTATATATTGTCAGAGCGATTAGAGTGAGCTATATATCCTTGCATGTGTGAACCACAAATTAACACAAACTAGTCTAAGAAGTGTTTACTATTAAACCTTTCTATACAAATGCTGCCAAAGTCAAATCTAGTCCTCTGCTTTTAAAGACAGACTTGGATGGAAACATTTTTGCCTAATATCTTTCTTTATGCTCCATTAAAGATGGATGCAGTTTCCGACAAACTTCTGGCGGACATTAATTTTCTGGTGTAGGACTAGGAATGCAGGATTCTGTCACAGTAACATTGTTCTGATTTATCCAACTACAGCAGCTTCCTTCCAAGAAATGTAATGAAGGTGAAGGTTGATATGGGTCAGTACATTGCACCGTTTAAAGAATCAGATGCATTTGATTAGACATGATGATGAGCTCCATCTGCAACTCATTTATTCCCTGTCACGATGGAAAATGGAATACTTGACTTGTAGCCAGATTATATTCTCATACATGCAACAAGCACATGGGACATCTTAGAGGATGTATAAAATTATGTGTCAAAAGTAGACCTTCCCTGTCTGTGGTGCTGAAACTGCTGTAGTCCTTCCTGTGGTGCCAGCCACAATATACCATATATGATACCACTGTTATTTTTTTTACCACACTGTATGTTTGCAGGACTACATGTATACAATGCACTTTTTGCTATGCAAAAAGGCCTGTCTGCCTTCTTAGCATAGTTACTTGCTCTTGTCAGTGATAAAGACTCATCAAGACTTATCGACATCCATTACTAATAAGGCAATGTTGATTTGATTAAATGGATGTCATCCTCTGGGTACCCCAACACTGACACGAGCGTGCAAATAAAAAGAGTTTGGCAAAAAAAGAAATTTTTTAAAAAGCGCCGACAAATAATCGAGTTATAACGTCAACCTATATGCGAATCCACACTAGGCCCAATACAATTATAATACATTGTAATAATAAATATTTTTTACAACGGACTATCGCGGACCCCTGTCATGGAAGAACTGGGGTGTGCACCGTTAACTGTTCATACCCGCTTTTCGTAACAACTCAAAAGCCCCATGACCAATACAGTGATTTTCAATCAGGGCTTAGTCTTCAAGTGACCAGCAGTGCATGCCTTCAAAGTCTAAGACAATTCCATGCAGCAGGCTTCCGATAGAATCTTGTGTATCGTCTGTTGCCTCTTAAATAGTAGAAAACTTAATATAATTTTTTCACACTCTTTCTAACAAAAATGTTGGGAAAAATTTATTTTCCTGGGTAACAGCTTATATGTTGAGAAAGCTACTTCATGTTTGTTTACCAAGCCACACTGCCCTCCTTGTACAAATGTAGCTCCTTGTGTCGTGAGAGTGCAGATAATTTTGATTCATGAATAAACCTGAATAAAAACAGCAAATCTGAGAAACAAGAAAGTAAAGTTAGTATGGCTTGAAGAGTGGCATCCTGGGTTGTACTTCAGGACCTTTTGTTCTCATTAAAGCACTACAAAAACTAACATCTCTGACATAATTCCCCTATATGACCCCTTCTGCTTGGTTAATCCTGAAGTATGCTGGGATTGTCTTTTACTGTCGAGAAGCAATCTTGCCACTGGGGGAGATTTTCTCAGTTAAACCCATCGCAAAATAAGGAGGTTCTAATTGACAGCAAATGGACAGGTCTGGTGCTACAGTATATGTTCTTTGTTGCAATAGTTGACAAAGAACTTTTGGCTAAAATATTATAAAATTCTATTCTTAGTTTTGTTTAGTAATTTCGTCACCAATGCCTGAAGAGAGAAAAATTACCAAAGCGTCCAAAGTTAGGGCATACTGTCAAGCATAGCCGCATTCACGAACTTCAAGGTACATTCACGAAAGTTTGTCGCTTGTGACGCGGAGCATGAAGGGCGCATGAATAGTTTGAATGAATTTCTCATCCAAGTATGTTGTTAACATTAATGTTCTCAAAATTCATTCATCAAAACCTAACCACTCTCTGACAACTAGTGACAGAGCGCCATGAGTTCGAGTGCGTGAAAAAGTGTCCAATGTTATAGGGCATCCCCCGTTTATAATAGGACAGTTATTGAGTTAAGCCATATTTCATGCTGTAAGGCTGATGCAAATTAGGATTAGGATTCAAGTTATCTAGTACCATGTTAATCAAGCAACTGGAAACGGTAAGACATTTCAAGTAGCATCCATCCACTACCTTTTGTCAGTGACACTGGAGAAATCACAAAGAGCATTATCAGATTCTGTCATGATAATTGTCAATATTGATGGATAAAGGCCATACATGTATGCTCTTTGCATCAAAAGTATCAAATTTTCAAGTCCCAAAAATATATGGTAATATTGTCAGATTACAAAAATGTAAGTGCATTACATGTCGAAAGACTTACAAAAGTGTGCACAATGAATTCAAAGCATTTCAAATGTACCTCCTACAATAAAACAGACTCCAATGGACTGATCCTGAGTGAGAAAGCTGATCTTGCCAAGTTGGAAATGATGGCTTGTCATGAGCATTCAAAAAGAGACTACAGAAAGCAATCACCAGGGCAGGCTGTTGCATACCAATATGCTTGTCATTCCCTTTGATGTGTAATAAGAGTGGCACTTAGTATTGGACTACCACCACCTCTATTCATCCTCTACATCCCCAATCGCCGTGATGTCTTTATCTGCACTTGTAATGGCTGCCAGGAAACAGACAAGGGATTTGTGTGAACATCTCCACTTTTTGATGGGTAATTTGATCAGGACCTTGTCATGTCTGAAGGTCCATGTTAGTGTTGATGAGTTGGCAGATGTATGCCCTTTAGCGTGATGGACTTAAGGCTTTGTACAGAAACAGCCATGGAACCTAGTCAGATTACATGAAATGGCCTCTCACGTGTGACCCATATACATGTAAGTCTAACTTAAAACATACATGTACATGGATTCACATTTTACTTAAAATAACCCTGCTGATTGTTTTACTCTTGATTTTATGTTCTCTGGAAAAAATTCCCTTGTAATGAACAAAAAGGAGGTAAACCATTAAAAATATTTAAAGTTGCAACCGTTACAGTACTTAGGCCACACCAATTTAATTTGTTGGTTCTCGGATTTTGTCAGAAAAAACATGAAGCAACAGGGCGAAAAAAAATAAAAATAAAAACAGGTTTAGGCATCCTATTATAGCCCCAAATGCTATAATAGGAGCCATGAAGTCAACACAAAAGGTTGTGTTAATATTTAAACAATGAATTTTGAACTTTTAATCAAACCACTGCGTTGATAGATGGAAACACTGCAACAGCTAGGAAGAAAAGGACTTTCCACAACTGTTGGGGGCAAAATATGAGCATTTTTTAGTTGATTCAGAACCAGAATCTTTTTTTTTTTTTGCAAATCAGAAAAAAAATGAAGAGGCGAATCCGAGAACCAACAAATTAAATTGGTGTGGCCTTAAGTGTTTGAAAAAAGGGAAAGGGTGATTCACCCCAATCACACCCACCAAAAAACAAACACGCATGCACACACATACATGAACACAAACAAGTACCAAGGTCAGCCACCAGGAGGCCCATATTTGACCTTGACCTTTGTCTTTCTATGACCTACCAACATACCAAATATCACAATCCACACTTCTTAAGTTGTGCTGACTACAAATGTGACGAAACACATCTGGAGCCGCATAGTTCCCGTTAAAAACCTTTTATTCAGCCTGTCACACGACAGGTTTTGCCTGTATGCCCACACACTCACACACACAGACAGACCAAAACATTTTTCATGGAGATAATATAAGGCTAACCTGAGGCAGACATCCCTGGAAGCTGACAGCAGCAGAGGATGAGGATGTGTTGAGCTGTACCCTTCTGTTGTTCAGGCGTACATCATGCAGACAGCCAGCAAACTTCAGCAATGTGGGACCAACACTTAAATGGAGTAAAGAACAGGGGAAGAGTTGAATTGTACAACAGCATACAAGTATGTTGAAGGAAATGACCGGGTCCCACATAAACAGAAAGTCTTACAATGTTTTTTTTTAGCTGAGAACACCGAGTAAACTGTTAATTGTCTTGAAGTCTAAAAGCATCCAAAATTTGTTCCAAATTGCTTGTATGAGCAGTGCTGTGGCATACTGTGGCATATCCCAGCCAATTACAATTCTGCATAAAATACTGTAGTTCACGACTGAGTACTGAGCACAGAAGTCTTCCCTAAGAGACTTCAGTCATGCATGTATACAATGTACAATTACTAGTATACTACACGGTGATTGAGAAGTATGTATCAAATACGACAGATTTCTATAGACTTGTTGCTACAGATAGATTTGATTACATATTTAAATGCAACAGCCCACACAATGCAAAAATAGGTAGATACATAAAAGACTGTTTTGTTATTAGAAAGAATACTGATTTGCTGTCACATGTACCCATAAAAAACTCCGCCTGATTGTAAAGCCTATGCTAACTTTTTATTATTTCTTTTCTATATATAAGTTGTTAAGTTTTATTCTATACCTATCTATTTTACTATGCTACTTATTGTTACCTATTTGCCATACAATGTACCCTGTACAATTGTCGTGCAATAAAGTTCTTCTGTATCCACCTGTTTGTTTGGTTTGGATGTTGAGATCCCAAAACAATCTGTACTTCTCCTCCAGCCAGGACCACATGGGATTCTGCAGTTTTGTTCTCAACAACACTGCCACTGTTAACGTTCCTTATTACCATGGAGACAGAAACACCAGGGAGAGTGGACACAGTCACCTGAAACATGATGGAAAGGTAACTTTTATGTGCATGTACCTAGGGGAAGATATATTAGGCAGTTTAAACTATCAACCTCTCCAGAAATTCTCAAGGATTTCTGAATAGGAGAAGGGATATACTATAATAAATATTAATTATAATAAATAATAATAATAACTAGAGTTCGGCGAGCTCATACCTCCATGGCATGTTTAATGCTTTCGTAAATCTTAATATGCATGGTGATGACCACCTGTAAATAGCTTACATTAACAATGCTCATTTGCAAAATTTTTATACAAATTATTTATCATTTAACATGGACAAGGAATGATATTGTTGGTTATACATGTACGTGTATAACCAACAATATCATACATGTATGCAAGCACGACCTCTGACAACTCATGTTTGCCGTTCAAGTTGACTAATTATACATTTTTCCAGAGCTCGGTTCAGAGTCCAACGCTCTAACTGTTGCGCCACGGACGCCACTTGATATATTATAATCATATTCTCCACCCAATGACAGGGTTATCTTAAGAAATTAGGCTATTCTAGCATTTCCTCATATATTATGCAAATGAGGTCCTGATTTGAATGAATTATGTTTAGTGATGGTCACCTTCACTGAACTTCCAATTATGGCAAGTATTAAATTCCCAGCAGTTACCACAATAAAATTGTAACGATTTGCCATTAATTATGCAAATTAGGTCTTCATTTACATAACCAATATCTGCCAATGATCTTTTCGTTCTCAATTACATATGTCTAAAGTGTTTTATAGCGCTAATATGGAATACAGCAGATTTATAGAATTTCCTCATTAATTATGAAAATTAGATCCTGATTTGCATAGTTCTAATCTAATTATGTCAAGCATCGCTTAAGCTACCTACATTTGTACATACATGACGATTCATCAAACGGTTGTTAAGTTATCCTCTCTTGAAGATTTTCAAAGAAACCATCCTGCAGTTCCAGAACAAGCTGCTAGGAGGCCCAAACTCACATGACTTCTTCCCAAAGACAAGAGCTACGGTAACCTATCATCCAAAATTCATTATCCTAGCATGTCCAGATCATGAGATATCAAAACCAGAGGTTGCGCTGCAGTACCAAGGGCAGCCACTATAGGGGGCCCAAAATCTCATCATTTCCAGTTTTCGCCACACCCTACCACACCAAGTATGAAACCCATCCATCCAGCCGTTCTTGAGTTATCTTGTTGACCAACACACGGACAGACAGACAGACAGATAAACGCAACTGAAAATATAACCTCCATGACATGATGACATGTCATGGAGGGAGGTAACAAAACGTCAATGACTCAATACCTTCATCATGGATAAGTTTGGGTTGTCAGAGATGTGCTGCTGTATATAACTGGCGCTGAAAAGAGGGTCACTTCATTGCAGCAGCTCATGCCCAGAAAAAAAGTTATTTGAAGAGAACATGCTGATATATTGTCTTCTTTTTTCTGCTTTAGTGGAACTTCAGTGTAATAATACAACATCTTCACTTTCCATTGTAGGACATACATGTTTTGTACCTTGTCAAGAGTGCAACATACTATCTGGTCACATGTAACAAGAAAAATGTAGCTTTGTTACTGGAAGATCCGAGAGTGACTTCTTGAATGTTACAACTCACCTCATACCAGGTTCCATGATTGTAGGTCAGGTCAGATGTCACATTTTCCCTTCCTGGATTAAGCCCCAAATTCTCCAGCTGGAAGACCAGGTGGCCTTCGTCCAGGAACAACCCATAATACTCTATCTCTCCCTCAACCAATAGGATCACTGCATGTCTGTTGAAGGTTCTGAATTGGAGGGAGACTTGCAATTGGCCGTTAATGGAGAAGTTCTGGTTGGAAAACATCAGATAACCAAAGCCGTCAAAGCTGACTCCAGGCTGCACTTTGGTGGTTGTGGAGGGTTGCTGGCAGCAGGACGGGGTGCCATTGATCGGGAAGGGGGTACCAGTAGTCCACAGGTTCTTTTTCTCCTGGTTCACCTCCAGGTTGGCCACACAGCCAACAAGCCTACCATAAATGCCAGAATAGGCAACCTGCATGGACAAAGGTAGATGAATATTAAATAAAATATTTTGGAGTACATAATTTTACCTGCAGCATATAGGAAAATTAAGCTACATGTACACATGTATCCATGTTCTGTTCTTCTGTTAAGTTTTATTTCATCAACTTGGTTGGTTGCAGCTGCATGAAAAGTTACAGTATGCAAATGATCTGTATATATCATGGTATGCAAGTATTGACGTCATGTATATATTAGGACAGTCACGTCACAAGTAGCTTGAAGTTAGGTGTTTACCGCAAGTCAACACATACGGACCAGTACTTGTGGTTTGACAGTCACCTGAACCTTAGACACAGGAGAAGAAGGAGACAAGACACACGAGCATGAACACCTGAAGACTGTGACCAAACCGTGACCAAGGCCGCCACCGTCTACCCCCCATCTACAACAAACTCATCCAGTCACGTGACCTGTGCTGACCTTTCAACCCCGGGTCACGTGACTGCCCTCTTCATTAGCTGAAGAAAGATGGTGGATGCCGTCTGAAAGCTCCTATATATACGCTTACAGAACTCAGTTTTAAATCCTTCCTTGTACTATAGCTTGTGTTAAACAATCTCTTGCTGTCAGTGTCTGATTGGGCCTCCTCCCTGAGAGCTTATTATGGACATACACACCTCTAACTCCAGAGAACCATTCCCATTCACAGAACCAGTAGCTCAGGATCCTCTGTCACTACGGACTATCTGACATCACGTCAGCCTTTAACACTACGTTCTAGTCTCAGTCTTACAATAATATGGTAGCACATGCATAAATCAGGATTAAGATGTTCCCAATTCTCCTGTATCAAAGATGTTGGCCATCAATCTTTGAGGGGCCTATCTAGTGGAAGGGCTGCTTGAAGCTGATATATGTAGTTGGGCTACATTACAAGTACCTTCAGAAAAAGAAAAATGCTTATTGCTACATCAGAAGCACCTTCAGAAAAGGAACCATGCTTATTGAGATGAGATGCACCCTGTTTAGTGCCTCCTACGAATCAATTTCTTGTGTCTCTTAGGGCACGAGGCAGTTAACCTGTTATACAAACCAGATACAGATCAAAATCATCCACCTATATGTACTGAGCTAACTACTCCTAACAAAATCAGTAGAACTCCACAGTGTGGAGATCCCCACAGGAGGCCCTAAAGGTACTAACAACTTTCTATTGATTTAAAAGTGGTCCCCACATCATGCTGAGTAAGCAATCCTGACCCCTGACCCAAGGTTGTAACCCCAGAGTCCAGACACAACACAATCTCCATCCTACAAGCCAGACTGGGGTGAAGCCAGCATCGGAATCCAATGCAGCACGTCTGTATCACTGGGCAAATGTCAGATGTCATAAATCACTACCTCGCAAAATGGAGCATAAAATCTGCTTTCATTGCCCTGCACTTAAAACTTGATTACCTTGTAATAACAGGAAATGATTTTTGTTATAGAAAAAGGGATGTATGAAGGACATGTACAGGCAGACGTGTAGTACGAGAACAGACTAACATACATACAATACTTGAACAATTAAGTGACCATATTAAGTGAACAATTATGGACCGGACCACGTCTGAGGGGAGCAGTCCTGAGGAACCATAACTTGAAAGGCTGGAGTTTGTGAGTTTAAGATTTGGATAAGTCCATTTTTTGGGGGGTTGGTGGAAAAGGGAGTCCAGTCCGATCGGCTGAAAAAGCAGTCCAGTCCGATTTGTGGGTGGAAAAAGCAGTCCGGTAGTTTGTGTGTAGCAACGCCACCTTACAAAATATGATAAAAGTGCACGCAGCCTGGCATGTTACCGTATGTCATGGTGTGAAGCGCACTCATTGGACACAGCTATGCAACTGCCAACAACTGCCTGCGATACTTACGTAAATAATTAAAGACAGAGCTTTGGAGTTCAGATCATTTTACCCATAAATTAAGACCCTTCAGACGTAGTTTTAGACATAGTTATAGTTCTAGAAATGCCCATGCACTATAGCTACCTTTCATCATGTACACTTGACACTTGATGAAAGGTAGCTTGATAAACAGCTAGTAGACACAGATTCTAAACAGTTTGTAAATAATCCAGACGTTAATAAACGGCATAGGCCTAAACTGTCAGTTTTCTGGCAGAAACAATACCGGTCATATCTGGACTTAGGTTCTGAGTAGGTTCCGAGTAACTCGGAGTTTAAGATTTCAAAACTGACCCAAGATTTGAGTGCCAAAATAAGGTATAACATGTAACGTTAATTAATCAGATGTTTAATAAATACTGCATAATTTTTAATGGTGCCGGTAAGCGGAAATTGTAGCTGCGTGAGGATCGAGCGCACTTTCTTATTATTATTATTTACGTACTAAAAATTATTATCATTTAAGTAAAGTATCACTCGCATTCACGATCCACGCCGAACGCAAACCGTATGTCCGAAACGCAACCATATGTCCGCCCCCACCACACACTCCAAATACTAGTCGCTGCCGCGCAGTCTCTTATTACTTTAAGTGAGTATTGCTCGCACTCACGATTTGCACCAAACACAAAACCCCCACACACACCCCAATTAGCTGCCGCTCAGCCTCTTATTATTTACGTATCGCAGACAGTTGTCAGCATTTGCATAGCTGTGTCCAATGAGTGCGCTTCACACGGTGACATGCAGTGACATGCACACTTTTGACACACACCAGACTGCTTGCACTTGTTTTACAAGGGGGCGCTGCTACACACAGAAACTACCGGACTGCTTTTTCCACCCCCAAATCGGACTGGACTGCTTTTTCAACCGATTGGACTGGACTCCTTTATCTGCCAACCCCATTTTTTTGGCATTGGAAATTACAGTTCAACCTTGATTCAGAACATTTCCTACCAGGCTTTTCTAATACCCTTCAAAGCTTGAAAACACCCACATCTGATCCTGTAATGCAGGGTCAATATACTTTTCAACAACCTCTTCCCTTTCCTCTTTTCAACTATAGCTTAGCATCCTGTCTTATGGCCTATGACCTTTTTTGTGCAGTGAGTAATATCAGGTGAGCAACAACAGCTGGTCCAGAGGCAGGGGTCTGCCTAAATACCTCAACCGACCGCAACCGACCACAATCGACCGCGTAATGGGTTAATATGCAGTATACATGGGCTAACAACCTTTTCTAACGCTCTGGATACATTGTCTATGCTTGTATGAATGAGATTTAAAAGCATGAAGGGATCGACATCCAACTATTGAAATAAATGATCTGTCTAGCCACCCCCCCGAAGTTCGCTGGTTGGTTCCGCGGAGCGTTCCTCCTTGAGGTCAATGGAGGTCAAGCCGGTAGGCGTACTTGCTTAGCAGCTTGGATGTCAGGCTGGAAAACACTTGGTATATAGCTATTATGAGTTGGTTATGATAGTATTTGTACTTTACTATGATTTATAAACCAACATCTTTGCGTTCTGTGGCCTGTATGAAGCAAAAAGTGTCCAGAGGTTCCCCATGCAGGCCCAACGATGAATAACTTTTAAAAACTGGTAAATATACGTCAAAGTTACAGTGTTTTTTCCATTCATACAAGCATAGACAATGTATCCAGAGCGTTGGAAAAGGTTGTTAGCCCATGTATACTGCATATTAACCCATTACACGGTCGGTTGTGGTCGGTTGAGGCCGGTTGAGGTCGGTTGAGGTATTCAGGCATACCGCAGAGGCAGTATAACGTATGCACATTACATTGAGTATTCTGTGATGATCATGTCTATCTGAACAGGTGATATCCTTCCTGCTCAGTCCATCCCCAACTATTGGATTCCAATCCTGTTGTCCAGGTGCTGATTCTTATTTAATCACACCAGTGCCAGTGAGAGTGACCTCACCCCCTGGCTCTCACATATAAATCAATAACAGCACAGCAATGCTGCCCTGCTGGAGCCGGGAGCCAGCTAGAGCAGCAACAGGAGAATACAGATGGGACAACTACAGATGGACTAGTACTATGGTGTGAAGATGTAGGAATAGTCATTGCAACAGATGACAAAAGAAGAATTTTCTGAATGATATTCCCAACATGAAAACAACAGGAAATGAAAGATGCTTCTATCTGCCAGTTTGGCACATCTCAGAGATCTAACCCGTTGGTGTGGCTGTAGCCTTTAAATCTAGTTGTTCTTCTAGTGGCCCTCCCAGTAGCACTGTCACACTTGAAGCTTGATCTTTTATATAATATGAACACCAGGGTTTTAGTAGAATCTGGGTCGTCCTGATACAGTACAGCTCGCGTCAATGTTTCCATCGTGCCGCGTCAATGCCGCGTTCCCCGCGCGTTACGAACGCGTTCGGCAAATATGCATAAACGCTAACCCGAACGCGGCATAACGCGGTAGAGTTGGCGTAGCGCGTAACCATAACGCGTTTCCGATCGCCAGCCAAAGTTAATGAGATGGGGTCAGGTTTCATGTTTTGTTTTACGGTTTTGTAAGACAATAGCGACTTGTCACCTTGAACGGCGTCGTGTAGCATTGTTGGCAACTCTCTCATGTCGTTACGGAGATAGCCTACAACTACATGTACAATTTTCAACACGAAATTTAGTGCGTTTATAACGTTTCAAAAGTCAACAGCCGTAAGAGAATGTATCTCACAAAGTGCCGACCGTCGCCAGCCCGACGCACATTGGGGCACGGCCGCGGCGTTATGCAACGGACGCGGAGTCTTCACACACAAAACTCTTCAAGAAGCGGCCAAAATCCTCCCAAATTTCCACCTAAACGGACGCTAGGCCAAAATGTCCACATTTTATAGGGTTTCATCCGACGAAAACATTGTCGAACATTGTCGGCAAAGCGATACCACCACGCCCCCCTCCCCCAACTCACATAGTACGCGCAGCCTTCCCTGGCCGATACGTTAAAAAAAACTTTCGTTTTCCAGGGGTATTTTCACACCGAATCTACGATCTTTGCGTTCCAACATTCCGTTATACATAGGATAAAAACATATGTTATAGCTTTATTGTTCTGAATAATGGTATGGTATCACTTTTTCAAAGTAGCAATCAACGACTAGGAAATCTGACCATGCCGATCCGCAGGGGGAGACGTCGTCCGGCGGTCCACAAGTCGCCGCCAAGCCGGGCCGCCCGGCGATGATAGCAGCCTCTCTGTAGCAGCCTGATACTTACCGTCCGAACACAGAAGAATTATCCGTAGCTAATTGATAACAGTATTATAGCATATGTTTCTGTTGGAGTCACTTATTTCTCGTAATTTTTTTCTCGTAATTTTTTTTCTCTCTCCGTCATGCTATACCCTCACATTAACAAGTTACATACTTCAAGTCAAAGGCGTTCCAAAAACGCCCCTGTTCGAATAAAGAGATATTTTATACCTCTACTGTATGCTTGATGTGATAAAATGATGTAGGATGTGGCATAATTTTTTAAAATGATACAAGACAAGCTGACTGGGAAACTCCGGACTGGAAAAAACGGCGATCCACCATCCACTAGTAGCAGGTAAGTTAGGCTAATCGACCGGAAGACAGGACTCAGAAACGCAGGTAAGGAGAACCTTCCACCAAGAACTAGGAGTCATAGGACTTATTAATGTCATTTCAAGCAAGCAACAGCGAAAGGATATGTTTATAAATTTGTTACATTCGGCGATCGGGAGGATCGTATTACTGAAGGCACCGCCTGTTTTACGTCTCACCATGCGATGCAATCCCTACTTCAAAGAGACAATCTTGAAAGTCTTTGTACATGTACGTCGGAACGATAATGTTTTGTAAAGCGCCATATATGATGTACACTGCATATACATATTCTTCAGAATAGAACCAATGAATAAATACAGTCCTAACAAGCAATAATAATGCCAGGCATACATGTGAACTGATGAATAATGCGACTGCGTCCAGTGGCAGTGCGTATTTGGGAACTAATTTAAGTAACTTCGTTCTCAAGTTCCATATACATCAAACATAGCAAATGGACAAATAAAATCTACAACTATTTTCTTTGTACAAGAAAAGAATTGTAAAGATGTAATGTAAAGAACTTAGTCTTATTTGCTAGCGAGTCAGAACTTTTCTATCTGCAAGACACTGGAATAATTGCACACAAAGTAAAGAAGGTAAGGTTTCAGACAAAGGGAAGTCTTGATTATATATTATAGCAGTCAAGAAGAGCTGGATGGAAGCCTTGAGGCTGGCTGCTGACAGGGAAAGCTGGGCTACATTGACTGCCTCTTACGCCACAA